AAAATGATATATATATGAGAGAGACTATATTTGTATTTTAAATTATTAGGACTCCCACTTTGACCATGATGAGAGTAAATGATAAATAGCGATATATTAGAACACCCCTTGTTGCTAAGAGTAGCACCCCAACTTTCACAAGTGGATTAACTAGTGCCCCCCACCCTCCCCACTTTTCATCCTAAGCATGACAGCTCCTCCCAAACCATGGTCCTGGGGCTTGCAGACAGAAACGTTAACTTCCCCACACACCCCACAGCTCTTTGACTTCATCATATCAGCAGTTTCTGATCTGCAAATATGTTTGTAAAAAGATCTTTAAGCCCCTGATTATTCTGGTTTTCTAGCTGAACTATTCCAAAGTTGGTGCATTCCACTACCTGTCTTTGGATAATTGGTTTTTCTACTCGTAGGAAAGGAAAGTAAGAAAGCACCAACAACAGTTGCTAACTAAAGCCTTTTATTAGAATTGTGATTCAAGAGAACTGGGGAGTTCTGTGTCTTATAAATGAAACTAGGTTTCTGGAGTGGACAGAGGAAAAGCACCTGATGGTGCTCCTGGTTCTGTTTCTCAGAGGCTTTGAAGGTTATAATTAGTTGCTGCTGAGTCCCCGTGGCTGGGGTGCTCTCAGCTTTATTTCTGGTTTGCAATCCGCCAGTCAGAGAGCAGGTTAGAACCAGGCAAGGCCTGCGTGCTTAGTTTTGACTCTTCCTGGAGACGAGATTTTGACTTGAAGACCACGTTTCTGCTCCTGGGCCATACAAACAAAGAGCTGTGCCTGCCCAACTGACCCGGGCCAGCGTGGGTCAGGAGACACTGTGCAGCATTGAACACACCTCCCTCATCTCCAGTTACTTCTGGGCAGGGAGCTGGGAGGACTCACCACGGAACTGTGGGTTGTCTCCTTTCCCCTTCACAGGAGGAAAACGGAGGCCTAATGGATCCCAGGAATTCGGAGCCCAGAAAGTATGTGGGCAGATGGTCTATGTTCAAGTTGGTGCCCTTAAGGTAGAGAAGGAGCAGCCTGTGTCCCTCGCCTCCCTTTCCCCATTCTACCTGTGTATATTTCAAATCTTTTAACAATACCTTTAGATTTTCTTTAAATATGACTTAGTTTGTCAAATACGGAAAATTGGATTTGGGGTTTCCCATCAAAACCCCGCATTTTGAAATCCGAAAACTATAAATATAAATTGAACAACTCAACAATTGATAATAAGTGGAATTGAAGAGTAATGAGTAATTAGAATGGTCTAGGGGTTTCAAGTTAAGAGGACTAATTACATTAGGTGTGAGGTTATTTGAGAATGAATCCATGTTCACCCAGCTGGTGTCATCATGGGTGGTATATGGAGTAGAGTCACCCAATGGAAATGATCGTATTGGGGATAGGAGACGGGGGTGGGGGGGCTTGGTGCTTGTTTAGTACATAGATTCATCTCATGACCTTTTGAACTAGCATTTCTTTTTGGTTTAGAAGTTTGTTCTGCTTTTGATTTTGCTGATTTGGTCAGCGAGAGGGAAAAAATGTTGCTAATCTCATTATCACAGTATTTTCAAATGGCATAAGCACATACAAGATCAAGGCTTTTGATTTTAAATCATCATTTTGTAGCCGATCAGTCTAGTTTAGGCTTTTGGGTTGCTGCTCTTTCTGGGTTGAGGGAGCAGTCAATTATGCAGAGCTTATTTCTCATCTTTTTTCTCGTTGTTGTTGGTTTCTCAGGAGGATTACCATCTGCTGCAAACACATACTCTGGTTGATGGCTGGGCCGTCCTCAGGCCCAGTTTTCATCGTCTTTCCCCTCCCCTACTCCCTTCTTCTCCTCCCCCTCTTGCTTCTTGGACATGGGTACATCCTCAGTCTCATAAACACATCAAATTTCTGTTTCTTTGATTGTTTAGGCCCTGCTGGCAATTTCTGTTTGCTTCTGTCAGTGTCTTCAGGAGAAATGTGTGCACAAAGGCAAAATGACTTTCAAAGGAGGCGACATCCTCATTTCTGTACTTGGTGCTGACATCAAATTGAAGGCCACTCGGCTGTAGCTGGTGCTGGTTCTCTCAGCAGCCTCGAGATTAACCTCTTGTAAGGCTCTGAGCTATTTTTGAGGTAGAGGCTGCAACATCATGAAAGCTAGAACCCATTAGGAAATCACTTTCATCATCTCTTCTTTTTCCAAATCAGTGGCTCCCCCCCTCCCATCTCATAACCCTTTAATCTCCTTTGTAGCAGAACAAGGAGGCTGTTGGTTTGTGTTTGCATCCAGCCAACTTAGAATCCTTAGCAGCTTCTGAAGACACCAAGGTATTCGAGGACTGCCTAGAGAGATGAATTTCACCTCTGGGTGGATGACTTAACGCTGAAGGTGCCCTGCTTTCCTTGTGCAGAGCCGTCATTTCTGTTGATGTTGTGCAAACCAGGCTCAAACTTTCCAAAAGACACACAGCAGAAAGGCTTTTGTTGCATTATTTCTAAAGGCTTGAAGTTTCGTAGGGAAGAGATTTTGTTTTCCTCTGGGCTACACAATGGAGCTTTCAGAGAACCTCTTTTAAAAGGAATAGCTACAGCCTTTGTGTTGAAGGGTGTGTCTGTTGGCAGGGTCTGCTGATGCAGACAGACTGGCTGGTGATTAACAAAGGTCATTAGACTTTGGAATCTGGCAAGCAGAGTCGGATGGTATGTCTTCTGTGTGTGGAAGGACGACTCTCAAGAAGCCAAGGCATTCTGGAGGTTCCCCCACCCCACCCCCAAATCCTGCTGTCCTCCAGGGTCTGGTCCAGGGTCGTCCGGTAATAACCAGTGCTCTGCTGGGACGCACGGACAAGCCTATCAATCATGACATAATAGAACCTTCAGAGATCTTGGTGCATGACATTTGAGGAAGAGAAAGGTGCAGCTTTTCGGAAAGAAATGAGAACAGTTCATTCTTTGTTGGGAGGAGAAGAGCCTAGGAGGAGCCCAGCCTGCTCGTTGAGTGTTCATTGCTGATTGTCAGCCTAGCCGAGTCCCAGCGAAGCCATGTTGTGCTCAGAGAAGCTGAGCTAAAATGGCTGCTCCCAAAGCTCAGAGGACGAGGGCAGCTTAGTGAGTCTTAGGGCTCCAGTGACGCAGGAGCTCCTATCTCTTGAAAGTGTGATAAACACATTCAGCAGAGCTGTGGCTTGTTTGGCTGAGATGAAAGGACTAAGCTTGGGGGATGGGGCGTGCACACTGGATGATCTGCCTTTTTTTTTTTTCCCTGTGAAGTGTTCTAAATGCAGGAGTCGTCTGCACCATGGAAAAATTTGTTTTCAGGTCTAATGGACTGTGCGAAAGAAGTGGGGTGGGGCCTCAGTGACTGCTGTAATTTGATCCAGAGCTGATAGCAACCTCTTCCACACAATTTGGGTTGGTGCTTAGACATAAAAGCTTGTGTATCTGGAATATTGAGACTTAGTTAGCTGAAAAGACTCTGGTGCACAGTTCAATGTTTATTGAAAAAGGATAAATTGCTGGAAGAAAGAAGAGGAGGTGAATATCTGTGTCTCACTCGGCAAGCTCCGTCTGTCCAGAGCTGGACTTGCCAGAAGTTATTTTAGTAGACTATCAGTAGGAACATTCTTTCATAGAAAATCCTCCTGCCATGGCTTTCTTTTACTACATGGACATATTACTGGACTTTGTTCTCCTGTAGGAATAATTTATCTTTTCCCATGAAAGTAGAGAAAGTTGCTGCACAATATAAGTATGGAAAGATGTGTTAGTTCTTAGACATCTGGTTCTAGATTATAATGACTCAGTAGAGTTTGCGGTGAGAGAGCTCAATGAAGTAATACACTCATTAAGATAACAACTGGGTATCTCAACTAAGGATATATATTAAGATAGAAAGAACTATACCTTCTACACCTTTTAACTTCTTAATGGACTCTCCATTGAGTAGTGTGAAGCTATCTATGTATTTCTATCCCATAGTGAATAACAGAGTGAAGGTAGCCGGGCAAGTTTTTGTTTGTTCTATATCAGGTTCACAGGTTTTTTGTTTTTTTTGTCCAACTATGCACTTCACATTTGTAAAGGAGAGCAATAGGAAAAGATGAAATCATGACTCAGAAGCCCCCCTTCAAGAGTGAGAGTTTCTGTTGCCTTCATGTATATTGAGGTACCAAGGTGCAACTTTAAACAAGAAACTGGATTATCATCTTAAAGTTAATTGTTTAAGAACCTCGTGAGAAATATTTTATGACCTAATTAGATTGGAGAAGCTGTTAGGTTATAATTGGTGGATAGTAAAAAGCAAATAAACATTTAGCTCATGAAAAAAAAAAAAGCCAAATAAAGTGCTTGGGGAAGAGAGGAAAGAGGTGTACCCCAATATCAGTTATTAAATTAAAATAATAAAATTATTTTTTAAATTTTTACTTTTTAAAATTATTAAGATTAAAATAATAAAAGGTACAAAAAAGGCCTTCTCTACTGTCATTCTGAGATTTAATGCTCTTTCACAATTTAGTGATAAAACATCAGGTTACAATATTAAAATGGCAAGTAAAGATTGAATTTCTTTTCTGCTGGCTGGACATCTTCTGTACTTCTGAGAAGGTTCTAGTTCAAAAAAGAAAATGGATCCAAGCCAGAACCAAAGTCAGAATTAACTTGCCAAGAAATTTAAATTCGGTCAAGAACTTCAGAAACTACTAAAACTTTGGAAGTTTCCTTGACAAATGGCATTTGAGGATATATTTATATCAAGCCAATAAAAGTTTATCTGTTCCATTTTTTTCCCCTTCTTTGAAGTTACAAAGTCAAGGGCATCATCTCTATTATGTCTTATTTCCTTCCTTTGGCCACTGTTCCAACTGGTACAGTTTAGTAAGAGAAATGTGGCAATATTAGAATTTTTTTCCATCAATGACCTCCAGCCCCGTCCACTTGGGATGTGCTTGGGATGTGCTTGGGATGTGTTTGGGATGTGTTTACTGCATTCCTTAAGATGTTCTGTTCTGACTTCCGCCACAGGTCCCTAATGTGAGAGGGTAGACCCAGATCATGGAGGTGCTTCAGTGTGATGGCTGTGACTTCAGAGCCCCATCTTACGAGGATCTCAAGGCACACATTCAGGATGTCCACACAGCTTTTCTACAGCCAACTGATGTTGCCGAAGACAGTGCTAATGAGCCACGATCCGGGTCCATGAATGCTAGTAATCAGACCGAGGTGGAGTTTTCTTCTATAAAGGATGAATTTGCAATTGCAGAGGATTTATCAGGTAAATCTAGACTAAACTCAGCGTATCTCATACATTTCATCGCTCTCATGTATTTTGAGCTGGTGGCCATGTTTCTTGATATATGTGGCTTCTGTGTTGCAGAGTTTCTCTCTCTTTTGAGCCATTTTTGTGGTTTGAGCATCATGTTTTTCTTCCTTAGTATCCTAGGTTATTGTCCTTCCAGCTGCTTTATGACTTTTAGTTTCCTTTCCATTTGGAAAACAAGGTAGTATCTCTGAAAGTTCTAGAGTAGATATTGCAGTTGGTGAAACTTGTGCTTTCATAGCTATATGACACATTAATGGAGATGAGGGGACTTGTACCTAGAGTTGAACACCCTCATCTTATGCCTGTGAGAAGCAATATGCGTATGTTTATTAATGCTTTGTTAATATTCTCAGGGCTTCATCTTGAGCTGTTAGGCCATTTGAGTGTGTGATGTTTATTAATGAAGAATGATTGAAAAGAAAAATTGATTTGCATGATTGACTTTTAAATTCTCTTTTACTTTGCTTTTCTTGTCCCACTTACCTTATGCTTTCTCTTTAGGTCAAAATGCAACTGCATTGGGGTCTGGAAGTTACTACGGCCACAGTCCAGGATATTATGGTCAGCATATTGCCCCTAATCCCAAACCAACAAACAAGTTTTTTCAATGCAAGTTCTGTGTACGCTACTTCAGGTCAAAAAACCTCCTCATTGAACACACTAGGAAGGTCCACGGGGCTCAAGCTGAAGGGAGTTCGACGGGACCCCCTGTTCCAGGATCCTTAAATTATAATATCATGATGCATGAGGGATTTGGGAAAGTCTTCTCTTGTCAGTTTTGCACATACAAGTCACCAAGGAGGGCTAGAATAATGAAACATCAGAAGATGTATCACAAAAACAATCTGAAGGAGATCGCTGCTCCTCCTCCTGCCCCTGCTCCCATGCCAGACCCTGTGGTCCCGCCCTTGTCCCTGCAGGACCCCTGCAAGGAACTGCCTGCAGAGGTTGTAGAGCGCAGCATCTTAGAATCTATGGTCAAGCCTTTGACCAAGTCTCGAGGCAACTTTTGCTGTGAGTGGTGTACCTACCAGACCCCCCGCCGAGAACGCTGGTGTGACCACATGATGAAAAAACACCGCAGTATGGTCAAGATCCTTTCCAGTCTCAGACAGCAGCAGGAAGGAACAAATCTACCTGATGTGCAGAACAAGAACGCCCCCAGCCCCACCTCCAACTCCAGCTATCTGTCCATGAATGCTGCAAGCCGGGAAATACCCAATGCGAATGTCTCCAACTTCAGGGGCTCCATCAGCAACTCCATCATGAGACCCAATTCTTCAGCTTCCAAGTTTTCACCCATGTCTTACCCTCAGATGAAGCCGAAGTCACCTCACAATTCTGGCCTTGTTAACTTGGCAGAGAGATCCCGTTATGGAATGGCTGACATGACCAATTCTTCTGCCGACCTAGAAACTAACAGCATGCTGAATGACTCTAGTTCTGATGAAGAGCTAAATGAAATAGACAGTGAGAATGGTTTAAATGCTATAGATCACCAGACATCAGGCATGTCTGCAGAGCAGTTGATGGGCTCGGATGGCAACAAATTATTGGAGACCAAGGGGATTCCCTTTAGAAGATTTATGAACAGGTTCCAGTGCCCTTTTTGTCCTTTCCTCACCATGCATCGACGTAGCATCTCCCGTCACATAGAAAACATTCACTTATCTGGAAAGACAGCTGTCTACAAATGTGACGAATGTCCGTTTACTTGCAAGAGCTCATTGAAACTGGGGGCTCACAAACAGTGTCACACGGGTACAACGTCCGATTGGGATGCTGTGAACTCCCAGAGTGAAAGCATTTCTTCCTCATTGAATGAAGGTGTGGTGTCTTATGAGAGTTCAAGCATCAACGGTAGGAAGTCAGGAGTCATGTTGGATCCCTTGCAGCAGCAACAGCCGCCGCCGCCGCCGCCGCCGCCACCACCACCTCCGTCACAGCCTCAGCCGCCACAGCTACAGCCACCACATCAGTTGCCACCCCAGCCCCAACCCCCACCGACGCAGCAGCCACAGCCCTCTGTGCAAGCCCCACCTCTGCACCCTTACAAATGCACCATGTGTAATTACTCCACCACAACTCTGAAAGGGCTAAGAGTCCATCAGCAGCACAAACATTCGTTCTGCGACAACTTGCCAAAATTTGAGGGACAGCCCTCCAGCCTACCATTGGAAAGTGAGACAGACAGCCACCTCTCTTCCAGCAACACTGTGAAGAAAAGTCAGACCTCAATTCTTGGGTTGTCCTCCAAGAACAATTTTGTAGCTAAGGCCTCTAGGAAGCTTGCTAATGACTTTCCTCTCGATTTATCACCCGTGAAGAAGAGGACTAGGATTGACGAGATCGCAAGCAACCTGCAGAGCAAAATTAACCAAACCAAACAGCAGGAAGATGCGGTGATCAATGTTGAGGATGATGAGGAGGAAGAGGAAGACAATGAAGTGGAGATAGAGGTTGAGTTGGACCGGGAAGAAGAGCCAATAGAGCCAGTCATGGAGGTGCCCACTCCCTTTGCAGCCCAACAAATTTGGGTGAGAGATGCCGGTGAGCCCCAGAAGGAGCCCAACTTCAGAAGTGTCACCCACGATTACAACGCCACCAATGGGGCTGAGATTGAACTAACTCTTTCTGAAGATGAAGAGGATTATTATGGCTCCTCGACAAACTTGAAAGATCACCAAGTTCCCAATACTGCTCTGCTGAACACACAGACTCCTATCTATGGAACTGAGCACAATAGTGAAAATACAGACTTTAGTGACTCTGGAAGGCTTTATTATTGCAAACACTGTGACTTTAACAACAAATCTGCCCGGAGTGTCAGCACCCACTATCAACGAATGCACCCATACATTAAATTCAGCTTTAGATACATCTTGGACCCCAACGATCACAGTGCGGTGTACAGGTGCCTGGAATGCTACATCGATTACACCAACTTCGAAGATCTTCAGCAGCATTATGGTGAACACCACCCAGAAGCCATGAATGTCCTCAACTTTGACCATTCGGACCTGATCTACCGTTGTCGGTTTTGTTCCTACACAAGCCCGAATGTTAGAAGCCTGATGCCACACTACCAAAGAATGCATCCCACAGTGAAGATTAACAATGCGATGATATTTTCAAGCTATGTCGTGGAGCAGCAGGAAGGGCTGAACACGGAATCCCAGACGCTGAGGGAGATTTTGAATTCGGCACCTAAGAACATGGTGACGTCCACTCCCGTGTCTCATAGTGGCGGTATGCCAGCTGCGTTTAATAAAAACACTCCTTCAAAGACCTTTACTCCAGAATGTGAAAATCAGAAGGACCCCTCTGTTAACACCGTGGTTGTTTACGACTGTGATGTTTGCTCATTCGCAAGCCCCAACATGCATTCTGTCTTGGTTCATTATCAGAAGAAACACCCTGAAGAAAAGGCTTCCTACTTTAGGATCCAGAAAACCATGCGAATGGTGTCTGTGGACAGGGGCTCTGCCCTTTCTCAATTATCATTTGAGGTGGGTGCTCCAATGTCTCCCAAAATGTCCAACATGGGTTCCCCACCCCCCCCACAACCCCCGCCACCAGACCTCAGTACTGAGCTTTACTACTGCAAACACTGTTCCTACAGCAATCGGTCAGTTGTGGGAGTGCTTGTCCACTACCAGAAAAGACACCCAGAAATAAAGGTTACTGCCAAATATATCAGACAGGCTCCTCCCACAGCTGCAATGATGAGAGGGGTCGAGGGGCCGCAAGGCTCCCCCCGGCCACCCGCCCCCATGCAACAGCTGAACCGAAGCAGCTCCGAGAGAGATGGCCCCCCTGTGGAGAATGAGATGTTCTTTTGCCAGCACTGTGATTATGGGAACCGGACGGTCAAAGGGGTACTCATTCATTATCAGAAGAAGCATCGGGACTTCAAGGCCAATGCAGATGTGATCCGGCAGCACACAGCCACCATCCGAAGCCTCTGTGACCGTAACCAGAAGAAACCTGCCAGTTGCGTGCTTGTCTCCCCCTCTAATGTGGAGAGGGACAAAACTAAACTGCGAGCACTCAAATGTAGGCAGTGCTCGTATACCTCCCCCTACTTCTATGCACTGAGGAAGCATACCAAGAAAGACCACCCTGCCCTGAAGGCCACGGTCACGTCCATTATGCGGTGGGCATTTCTAGATGGCTTGATAGAAGCTGGCTACCACTGCGAGTGGTGCATCTATTCCCACACAGAGCCCAGTGGCTTGCTCCTGCATTACCAAAGGAGGCACCCAGAGCATTATGTTGACTATACCTACATGGCTACCAAACTCTGGGCTGGGCCAGACCCGTCCCCTTCCTCTCTCATGATGCCAGCAGAAGCCAAAACATACAGGTGCCGAGACTGTGTTTTTGAAGCAGTCTCCATCTGGGACATCACCAATCACTACCAAGCATTCCACCCGTGGGCCATGAATGGTGATGAGTCAGTGCTGCTGGATATCATCAAGGAGAAAGACGCTGTTGAGAACCCCATCCCTTCGTCTGAAGAGTTGGTGGGCCCTGTGAATTGTGAAAACAGTATGTCCACTCCACTTCCCGATCAGGAAGCAGAATGTCCCGAGGATGCAAGGCTTTCCCCAGAGAAAAGCATCCAGCTCACTTCGGCCAACCCCGCAATCTCCTCCACCCCATACCAGTGCACGGTGTGCCAGTCTGAGTATAACAACCTGCATGGCCTTCTTACCCATTATGGGAAGAAGCACCCTGGCATGAAAGTGAAGGCTGCTGACTTTGCCCAGGACATCGACATCAACCCAGGCGCTGTCTACAAGTGCAGGCACTGCCCTTATATCAACACCCGTATCCACGGCGTCCTGACCCACTACCAGAAGCGACACCCGTCCATCAAGGTGACCGCCGAGGACTTTGTGCATGACGTGGAACAATCTGCCGACATAGCCCAGAACGACGTGGAAGAGACGAGCAGGATCTTCAAGCAAGGGTATGGCGCCTACCGCTGCAAACTATGTCCGTACACACATGGCACTTTGGAGAAGCTTAAAATCCACTATGAGAAGTACCACAATCAGCCCGAATTTGATGTCTTTTCCCAGTCGCCCCCGAAGCTGCCAGTCTCCCTCGAGCCCGAGATAACCACTGAAGTGAGCCCCTCCCAAATCTCCATCACCGAGGAGGAGGTGGGAGAGGAGCCTGTGTCCACTTCTCACTTCTCTACCTCGCACTTGGTCTCCCACACTGTGTTTCGGTGCCAGCTCTGCAAGTACTTCTGCTCCACAAGGAAGGGCATCGCCAGGCACTACCGCATCAAGCACAACAATGTCCGAGCCCAGCCCGAGGGCAAGAACAACCTCTTCAAGTGTGCCCTGTGTGCCTACACCAACCCAATCCGCAAAGGGCTGGCGGCCCACTACCAGAAGCGCCACGATATTGATGCATATTACACCCACTGCCTGGCAGCCTCCAGGACCATCAGCGACAAGCCCAACAAGGTCATCATCCCGTCCCCACCCAAGGACGACTCCCCCCAGCTCAGTGAGGAACTCCGGCGAGCAGTGGAGAAGAAAAAGTGCTCCCTGTGCTCCTTCCAGTCCTTCAGCAAGAAGGGCATCGTGTCCCATTACATGAAGCGCCACCCAGGGGTGTTTCCCAAGAAGCAGCACGCCAGCAAGCTGGGGGGCTACTTCACCGCCGTCTATGCCGACGAGCATGAGAAGCCGATGCTGCTGGAAGAAGAGGAGAGAGGCAGCTTTGAGAAAGCTGAGTTGGAAGGAGGTGAAGCTCAGGAAATCGAGTGGCTCCCATTCCGCTGCATCAAATGCTTCAAGCTCTCCTTCAGCACAGCTGAGCTGCTGTGCATGCATTACACTGACCACCACAGCCGGGACCTGAAGAGGGACTTTGTCATCCTGGGCAACGGCCCCCGCTTGCAGAACTCCGCCTACCAGTGTAAGCATTGTGATAGCAAACTGCAAAGCACAGCGGAGCTGACCTCACACTTGAACGTTCACAATGAGGAATTCCAGAAGCGTGCCAAACGTCAGGAGAGGAGGAAACAGCTTTTGAGCAAGCAGAAATATGCAGATGGTGCTTTTGCAGATTTCAAACAAGAGAGGGTAAGGATATGTTTTGATTTCCCTTCCCCCAGGAGGCCTCTCAGCACTGGTGCCCACATGCACTTCTTCGTTGCCAGCCAAACTGCTACAGGCTTCCTAGTGACTTAGCTTGCCAGAGAGCTCAATAAGTCAATTAAACATTTCGAGCTTGATTATCCCCATTCTGTGCTTACCCTTCTCCACGGTCCTGTGCCCCTCCCTCTCACTCCTCCCGAGGCTCCCCAGGGGAGGGTTGGGGTGATTTCTCTGTATTTCTTTCTGCCAAGTAGCCTTATCCGAGGCCTAGGTCCACGACGAAGCTCGCTCTTTTTCCTAAGGCAGTTGTGGGCTGTCTCTTGGTCTCATTAGTGCTTCTCAGCCATGTCTCGGTCTGCGATGTTGCTACATGAACCTAACATCTCAAGGAGTAGAATTTTGTGTGTATGTCAAGAAGCTCACTAATGGCGTAGCTATGCAACGTTTCACCTGCGTGTAGTTGAAGTTGGTTTGCAAACCAGATAACTTGGTGGCAGTGACAATGAGGCTCCTGCACAGAAATCTTCTCACAAGTCGTAAAATACTCGGGTTCCAGAGACTCTGCACAGTAGGCAGTGTGCCACAACTCTGACGAAATTCGTTATGTAAAAATCCTCACGTATATCTCCCTTGGTTTTTAACCTGCTAACCTGCTTTAAAATAAAATCTGCTAGTAAGCTACAAGAATAAATGCCGGCCAATGAGGGAGGGCTCGGAGTACTGATGGCTACCACTGTATTTTACCAGCCTTTTGGTCACTTAGAAGAGGTGCCAAAGATCAAGGAGAGGAAGGTGGTGGGCTACAAGTGTAAATTCTGTGTAGAAGTGCACCCGACGCTCCGAGCCATCTGCAATCACCTCCGAAAGCACGTCCAGTACGGCAGCGTCCCCGCCGTGTCCTCCGTGAAGGTGAGAACTGGGAAGGTCTGGATGAGCGTTCTTGTGTGTGAGCCATTCGAGTTACTCATTAACCCTGTTGCTCAAAGCAGCTCAGGAAAGGGCGTCCCAGCGTGTGCGCATTCCTGAGTTATGCTTGGATCGGTCTGGCTTGTTCTGATTTCTTTGCAGGTTGGACCTCCCTCATCTCTCGTGTTTCGCCCTGGTCGCGTTTCGATCTGGTTCCCTTCCACGTGGATAGTTTGGTGGATACAGAAGATCCGGGCCTCTCGGTACAGGAGGCTTTAGGTTCCCCTTCTCTTCTGCATTTAGTGCCGTTAGGTGTTTGCTCTTCCATGTGGCCCGAGCTCTTGAGAAGAATCAAGTGGGTTATGTTTCCGTCATCTTCGGCTCCTCCCACTGCCTGACTTCTTACTACTGTTCTTTCTCATCGGGCTGGTGAATACAGAGAGCCCAGGAGAACCCATCTTTTACTTCTTATCCCGGGTCCTCCAAGGAGCAAAAGAGGCATTGAATCTAAAACTAAAAGCCTTAAGTCACAGTTGGCCCTGAGAGCCTGTTGACCTGATTTGTCTCCCATGCTTTCTCCCTGTATGTTACTGACAAACACAGGCCGCCTGTTTTGAACATCATAATCCTAATAGCAGCCACTGTTTCGATAACCTCACCACCATCCCTGCCTTCCAGGATATGTCTAAGCACTTGTCGTTTCTGAGCAGAGAAGTTAGTTCAGGATTCTGCTCTTTCTCTCCGGCTATGTGAATATATTTTTGGCATCGGCCCTGCTTGATTTTTGTCCTGTTTTGCCAGTGTGGCATGGAGGTGAAGCTTCTGCTTTGCTTCTTTGAAGGCTGAAGCTCCCTGGCTGTCAGAAGGCAAAGCAGTCGCACCCGGAGTTGCGGTGGTCAGCTTCTGTCCTGCCACTGTGGTGTGTCCCAGCCTTGGACTCACTTGAGGGAGACAGAATAGCTCTTCCATTAATCAATAATCCAAGGAGCCACCTCGGAACCCGAGAGGCTTAAAACCAGGCTGCTTCTTAATTTTTTTAATTGATTGTACAGCCACCCTCCAGGCAAGAGGTGAAGTCCTGTCACTGTGTGCATGGGGGGCAGGATCTTTCACTTTCCTTTTTTTTTTTCCCAAGGATGCCCAGACTACTTGGCTTGTTTACCTCCTACTCCGTCCCTCTCTCCTTCCCTCCCTCCCTTCCTTTTTTCCCTGAGCCATAACCCTAATCCTGTTGTATGTCAGTTTAGGTGGGATTGCAATTTAAATTTTCTTTTTTGAAGATGAGAGATAAGTGAGTGAACCATCTTCAAAGTAGGAGAACCCCTCTCTCAACATTTTCCAGGCAGCCGCGCCCTGTGTCCGGATATATTGCCCTAAAATCGCCACCACTGCATGACAAATGGCCGTCGGGTGTGACGTCCCTCTAGAGGGAGCTGGAGAGGCAGGGAAGGAAGCTCCGTCAGGAAATGCTGATGAGTGTGGGAGAATGAAGGGAGAGGAGGAAAGCTGGGGCAAATGATGGATATTTATTTTGTTGGTGGGGCATGTGTGTGTGTGTGGTTCTCTTAGCAGGAGGCTGAAGACCCTTCCCACTTGTTCCTGGATGGATTGGAAGCAGCTAAAGATGCCAGTGGCGCCTTGGTGGACCGGGTGGATGGTGAACACTGCTTGCTTGATGGAATGTTGGAGGATGAAACCCGGCCGGGGGGATACCATTGTAGTCAATGTGACCGAGTCCTGATGTCCATGCAGGGGCTGCGTTCTCATGAGAGGAGCCATCTGGCCCTGGCCATGTTTACCCGCGAGGACAAGTACAGCTGCCAGTATTGCTCCTTTGTTTCTGCTTTCAGGCACAAGTAAGTGCTCTTGAGTGGTCGCAAGGTGTATCTGGGAAGAGGGATCATAGCAGAAGGCAGCTAAGTGAGATCAGGAGAAGCTTGGAGGAGTCAGCAGGCACTGCTCATGGTTCACACCTGCTATTTGGTTGGCTGCTACCTTGAACCTCAGTTACCTCAAACCTCAGTTACCTCATCTGTCAAGGGGAGCTAAGAACAGATGATTGCTTGGTTGATACGAGATTTGACTTAATGCAGGCATTTTTCAAAAATGACAGTGTTGGAGGTATTGCTGTGATTTACACAAAGACAGACCAGAGAGTCGATAAGTTTACTGGTACATCTGTCAGACATTCATTCAGAATCTAATCATCATTTGAGGAATAAGTTCCATTTGGGAAATTGAGTGGCTAGGAGGTAAAATTAGGACTATTAACCCATGTGACTAAAGAATCATTGCTTGATATTTTTAAAAAGACCTTGAAGGATGGATAAGTTGATGGATGCCAAAGAGAAGTTCAGATTGGTTGAGGAGAGAGAGCTTCCCATTGTTCATCACAGCTTGGAAATTATAAATTGGGGGGTTTGTGTAAGGCTTTTTGGGGTGATAAGAAGAGGAATGGTTCTGAGAAGAAACAACCTTTTCTTGCCTTTCTCTGTCAAATGTGTAAGAGAGATAAATGTTCGATAATGTGTTCTATGGTCTTGGATGAAGGGGACTAATTGTAAGACTGACATGCTGTTTATTTTTATGATAATTGAAAATAAATGATGGGCTGTTTGCCTCTCTAAAAAGATAAAGTGCTAGTTAGTGGATATTGAAAGGCAGGAGGAGGCACTGCTTCTGCAGAGGTTAGGATGGGTTACAAACTATTATTATTCAGAGCCTAATATCCAATCTTTGTTGTCAGATCCAGGCACTGGTATAAAACTTATGTAGTTCTCATCAATTCAATAAGTATTTTTTTAACAGCATCCATCACGTTTTCTGACACACAGTAGACCCTCAATAAATCATTATGAATAAATGACTATGCCCTTGTGCTAGGCACTGTGCTGGAGCCTTTGGGGGAAAATAAAGATGAATAGGACATGGTCAGTGTTCTAAGGGAATTTAGGGTCTACTTGGGTGATAAATAAAGCAAGCACACAAATGACTTTGGATAAGAAGGCACATGCCTTTAAAAATATAGATCAATAAAATGTTATGAAGTGTCAAAGAGGGGAAATGTTACATCACTTTGGAAGAATCAAGAAGGTTTTATAGAGTAGGGGGCATTTGAGTCAAGTCTTAAAGTAGGAACATAAGACTCGAATCGTTTGGAAAGGACATATGATGTGGGAGAAAAGACAAGAGTATAACCCTAGGAAAGAGAGCCACAGGGGCTCAGCTGGTTGTCCAGTTTGACTAATCTGTAAGCTATACATAAAGGAATACTGGAAAATAAAGTCCGAATGCTTGAGCCAAGACCATATTTGGAGTCTTTGAATGCAGAATTAATACTCTACAATTTACATTACTGGAAAAGGAAGATTCAGATGAGGAAAGTCACTGTTAAGTGCTAACATTTATTGAGCCTCACTATGTACTAAGAACTTTGATGTAAGATCTGTTTTATTCTCAGAACAGCCCTATGAGGTATGGTCTTATTATTATCTTTGTTTTATTTAAGAAAAGTTGAGATGTTTTAGTATAGAAAGCTTATATAACTTGCACAAGGCCACACCACTTATAAGTCATAGCTAGGATTTTGATCCTAGGCAGTCTGACTTCATAGCGGATGCTCTTGAGTTGGGGGTGACTGGGGCGGGGGTGGGGGGTGATAGGGAATACCAATTAGGCAGTGATAGTAGCTGATCCTGATCCAGATACTGAGGATAGAACTTTGGGAGTGGTTGAGGGAACTGGGATCTGCCTGACTTAGAAAAACTGACTTAATATAAGGGATGAGGGGCAGAGTAGAGTACAAATGGCACCCAGGTGTTCAGTCTGGCTGTCTGAGACTGCTAGTGCCCTTTATAGAAACAAGGAAATGAAAGAGAGTTTGTTTTGGAGAAAAAAGAAAACTGATGGGTCTGGTTAGGGCAGATTGAGTTTAAGGTAGCTAAAGGGCACACATAGGGAGATGTCAAGAGGCAGTCAAAAGCGCTGCCTTGGAGCTCAGGAGCACAGAGCATGTTTAGATGGTAAGCAGTACCATTCACAGATGAGTCGTTCAGGATAGTCTCTAGTTCTCTGGGGCAGTGATACAAATTAGGACCTCATCCCACACCTTGTTTGGTAGATTTATTACTTTTTTAAACTAACAACTGTGAAGTACTGGAAATGCAATATAATTAAATAACATCCTTACAAGTTGCTTCTGGACGAATAATGAGCAAACATCATTGTGTCATGTGACTTCCTGTAAACACACCTACGTATTTACAAAGACTTTGGAAATAGCTCATTGCAAGTAGTTCAGCGACTTTGAAACCTCCCTTCCCTACTTGAGCATTATCTCTTCCTTCCCTTAGCTTTCCCCTTTTTGGAGTAAATATGACTCTTGGTGGTCTTTTGTTTTGGGGGTTTGTTTTGTTTTGTTTTATTTTGTTTTTGGTAAGTGCAATCATTGGAAAGTAACAAAATGACTTGGAAAAGCTTAGAAATGGGATTTCTGGAAAAGAGCAATGAGAAATGTTGTATGCAATTTTTAACCCTGTTGTTTTTCTTTCTTTTCTTTTCTTCTTCTCTACATCAAGTTTGGATCGCCATATGCAAACCCACCACGGACACCATAAACCATTCCGATGCAAACTCTGCTCCTTCAAGTCCTCCTATAACAGCCGGCTGAAAACACATATACTCAAAGCTCATGCTGGTGAGTTGGTACTCGTGACACACAGGTTTTCGGAGTCTGAAATCCAGGTCTTCACTGAGTGAAATTTTAAATGTCTTTCGTCTCACACATGAGAGTAGATATTCTTGAGATGGTTGCATGTTTTGTTTTGTTTTAATCTACTAAAGAAATATTAAGGAATCGCCACAAGCCAAAATAATACCAAACGCATGCCACCCATGTCATAGTTGATTTATGCCACTAACAGCTTTTGTTTGTTAAGAAAAATTTCTAAATTCCCTAGCCTCTCTAATGGAAATGCAAGAATTGTTACATCCGCTAAACATAATCCCCCAATTAAAATACTGTTATAATCTTGAGGAAGTTCAAAGGAAGAAAGAGAACTCAAAACGCATAGTAAGATTTCTCATGCAATGCCTTAGATAGTTTCCACACACAAAATAAGAAGTGTCTGGAATTGGAACCCATCCGTATCAGTGTACCCAGCTGGTGGTGTTGTGAGAGGCTGCATTCAGCTTCAGTGAATATTTTTTTGAAGACTCAAAGTGTTTGCCCATTTCATGATGGGTGATTTACGAGCGCACCTGCCCACACCACTCCAAGTGTTCAGCGTTTTTTTCACCATAAACGGCTTGACCCCAGTGCCCCACCCTGCCTATTCACACCATCTTGCCCCTAGCAACTTTTTTTGTTTTGTTTTGTTTCCTGGGATGAAAAAAAGTCCTTAGAGGGAAATGTTTTGCCTACGTGGAAGAGGTGAAACAAACAAAAAAAAACAGTAGAAGCATTAAAAGGCATCAAAATCGATGAGTTCAAAAGCTGTTTTGAGCAGAACATCTCGATAGGGTCATTGCATGAAATGGAGAGCACTTTGAAGGTAACTAAAGTTTAAACATGTAAGAATAAATACACATTTTTTAAATAAATACATTCCAGTTGTTTTGGGTCCCTCCTCATATTTAGTCCTCATGACAGACCTGAAGTGTAGGTGTTGTTGTCGTCACCCTCATTTTCAGATGCGGATACAAAGACTCCGAATGAAGTGACTTGCTCAAAACCATATAGTCCATTCATTGAGAATTTGACTCCACAACAGATACATCCTTGTCACTGACAAGATGCTGCCTCCCTCCCTTTTCTGCTGTCTTCTACTTTGCCTGTGATAGAGGATGCCAGCCAGTAGATAATCAGAACTCAGCCAAGAGAAAAAAGAGGCGTGAAGTAGGAGAGGCAGTGGGGCAGGAATGGGGGCTTTTCCATGATTTTCTCAGTCACTTCCAGAACCCCCAGCTCAACAGCAGCCTGGCCCACCCAGAGGTTTTGACAACCTCAGAGGAACTTACGTCAAACACAAAGGGAGTTTGGGGAAATGAGGCCTCGGCGCACCTAGCTGTACTATCAGATTCTTTTACAAGTTGAATCTCCTCCCTGAGTTTCCCCGGCTAAGGTATTTAGATCCTAGTTTGAAAATTTGCAGGCAGCTACAATTCTTCTCATTTAGTAGCTTTTCTGGTGTGGTTATAAAAACCACCTGGAACTTGAGTCCCTCCTTCACTTTGGCCATCTCCTCGTTCCTTGTGGAAATATGATCTTGTCTCTACTATCTCCCGAGTGTTGGGTCCTGTTGAACTGGCTCAATGGAGTAAAACTGCTGAAGTCTTCTAGATGCCCTGGGCCCCACTGGGGGTGGGGGATGGGACAGGGAGATTAATTAGCCAAATGGGCTTTTCTCTATCTGTTAGTATTTTTATATCTCCAGGAAAATTCCACTAAAGTTCATGGAATAAGAGGCTTCAGGGTTCAGGCCATTCTTTTCTAACTGTATATTGTAAATTATTCAGCTGGGACACCATCCTGGTGTTTTTTCCCATAGGCCCCAGCCTTGTCAAAAGCTCTTTGCACAGTGGGAGTTGGGTAAATGATTTGGCCTCTAGGAAGGGCTTTGAAAGAGTGCCAGAGGCTGCACGCTGGCTCCAGGGCACTGAGCTAAAGTGTACGTTCTTGGAGCTGGCCAAGCAGACTGGCCTTCTGCGCTCATTGGTTGGGAAGAAGGAAGCATACACAGAGAGAGAGAAATGTAATTCAGCTCTCTCCGGCCTTGGGACCTTAGTGTCCAGGAATGGCCCTTAGCCACTGACAGTGACTTGGCTTAGAGAAAACCAGTACATTTTCTAAAGGATTCTTGACTTACCTTTTTTGTTGTAGATGGATTTTTAAAAATTTTTATTTTAAATAAGAAAAAGTCGTGTAGATTAACTCAATAACCTGCATTTGAATTCTCTTTCAAGTTGGGCTACTTATAACCACTAGACCAAGTTCATATAGCCAGACTTAGATTTAAAAAATTGAAAAATGGAATCCGGAGAGCAGTGGTGTTGTTATATATTCTACAAAGTGGGGGAAAAAGTAGGTTAACAGTTGTGAGTACGTAAAACATTTTATTCTTGTATTATTGTAGTATTTTCCATATGAATAACTATAAACCTACTTTTGCCCCACCCTGTATATATATGTATATGATATGTATACATATGTATAACTAATGTTTATAATATTAGTAAACCCCATTGTTCATGGCCCAGGATTATCCTGTAATTCAGCTGACAGGTGTTTTGTTCTGATCCTCTGACCTCCTTGAATTTCTGTTCTGCCTTGGACTGTAGCATGTTATATAATTCAAGGTTAGTTTCATGACTTTCTTGGAAACTCAAGCCCTGGGGGTCATGAGTGGTGAAACGGGCTTTAGGAAGAACTTGGGATGTGAAACCATTTAGTGGCAGGGAGGTAACCCTCTTACCTGGTAAAGCAGAGGCAGAGGTTTATCTGACTGTCAGCTCTGCCCTCAGCCATTTTCATTATCCCACAGAACTTTCATAACAATAGAGCCTTTCTTCCCCTCTTATTCCTCTACTTCCTTCTCTTTTCTCTCCTCTGGTTTTAATTTTAAAGATTTTGTTAATTTATATTTAGAGAGAGAGGCAGGGAGGGAGAAACAGAAACATCAATGAGCAAGAGAAACACCGTTTGGTTGCCTCTCACACACCCCCAGCTGGGGACCTGGCCCGCAACCCAGGCATGGGCCCTGACCGGGAATCGAACTGACGACCTTTCCATTTGCAGGCCAGCGCTTAATCCACTGAACCATGCTAGCCAAGGCTCTCCTCTGGTTTTTAAATTTCACCTTAAAAATAAATGTTAAGAATACTTGTTGATTAGAGAGAATTTAAAAATGAATGAAATATAGTCTGTCATCCATAATCTTATTATCTGAAGACCACTGTTGTTAACATTTGGTAGTCTTTCCTTTCAACCATTTCCTCTATAATTATTTTTAACAATTGTGATTATAATTTAATCTAAAATATATTATGGCTTCCTATGTATTTCTCTAAGTATTTTATTTTTCTGTGTTATTATGAACTCTTTAAGAAAATGATAATTCATCAAGAAAATGGGCCCACATTTACTTAATCATTTCCCTGTGGTTGGAAATTTAGGTGGTTTCATATCTTTTTCAAGCGCAAATGTTTATTTCTAAATAAAGCTTTCTGTGTATCAAAGGATATTTCCTTAAGATAAACTCTCAGAAGTGGAATTACTGCATTGCAGACATGACCATCCTAAACCTATTGTTATAAAAAGCAAAATTGCTTTCCCAGTTGATTGTACCAGGGCAAACAACAACATAAGCAGGGCCATGTCATACCTTCGTTTCTTAGAATGCAATTAATTGAAAAATGGACTTCGGGCAAAGGCAAATCATACTCTAATTTAATTTAGTCATAGTGATTTGTGTTGTATTTCAGTGGTATAAAAATAATTAAAAGGAAAATACTTATTTTAACTGAAATATCCTGTTTAGTGGAAAAAGTGGAGATACACACATACATACCCATACCTCTCTTTCTTAGTTTAAAAAGTGACTTGTTTTTTACACATTCCTGTATTATTGATTACATAAGGAAATGGATTTTTATGCTGAGGTTTGTGAGCGGATCCAAAAAAGCCCTCAAAATCACTATAGGATGTGCAGAATCAAGGAGGTGTGTAGCCAGCAAGGAAGTAAAGAAGACTAGCACAGTAGCTTTGCACTGAGTGACTTGCACTGAGTCACTGATAGACCCTTGGAATAAGAATTAAGCTTGTTATCTTCTGCTGATGATATAAAGGCAACCTTGAATGAAAACTGACTTGGCTGTTTCTAGTACAGAGAAGGAGGGAAGAGAGATAGGAAGCCTTTCTGATGGAGGTATCATAGACATTTGGTTTCGCTCCCTGTGGGGCACAGCCCGCAGGCTCCTCCAGTAAGTAGAGCGTGGAATGAAAAGGAACCAGGTCACTTGACTATGGAGCTCTTCGAAGAGTGTCAGTCCCAACGGAGTGCTGTGGCTGTGGGAATGGGCGAGTGGTTGGTCTGTGAGGGTTCTCATCCCCTGAAGCTTGAGAGGCTCTTCTGTAGAGTGAATTAACCATGTTATTTTGTTTTCCACCCCACCTTCTGCCCTCCTTTCCTCTTGTTCCTTTTGTCCTTTGCCCCCATCTTCTTCCAGGTGAACATGCCTACAAGTGTTCTTGGTGCTCATTTTCCACCATGACAATCAGCCAGTTAAAGGAACACTCCCTCAAGGTCCACGGAAAAGCCCTGACCCTCCCCAGGCCACGAATTGTCAGTCTTCTCTCCTCACACTCCCACCACTCCTCCCAAAAAGCTACCCCAGCAGAAGAAGTGGAAGACTCCAATGGTAAAAGTGGGCTGTCCAGCCAAAATTAACCACTTCGGGTTGACGTGGGCTGGGATTAATTGCCAACCATTCTTTCTAGAGGAAAATTTTATGCAAAAACGTAGTGGTTCAAGTGAAGGAAGAAACACGAAAAGGTTGAAACTGTATAGATATTGGAGTTGGAAGGCATTGTGAAACCTGGAGGCATGTGTTTGGTTCCAACGCGTGTGAGTGTTGCTTGTGGAAAGTGCACAATGTGTGGGGTGGGTTAGTGTTGGATTCTCCCACCATAGGCAAGAAGGAAGGTGGAACACCAGACATTTATTTCTTTGTTTACTTATTTATAGTCTGTCTTGTTCTTAAAAAAATACATGTGTTTTGAAGTGTTTGGAATGTGAGATATGTAAATTAATGACACAGAATTTAGAGTAGGAACGGAAAGGGTGAATGAGTGGAGCGAATATTTCCTATTGGGTCACAAGATAATTTAAGGTATTGCAGTGATTTTATTTCTTTTATACCTGAAGGATGCTGAGAAAGCATCATTTGGGAGGAAGGTTGAACTGCCCAGCTTTTGGGCCTCAGAATAAACACAGGAAGCCATGGAGAGGGTCTCCTCACTGGCAATGTAACAGAAGATGTAGGCCGGGGAGGGAGAGGGGGAAAGAGAGAGAATGAGTTCATTACAGGAGTGGCCTAGTGAGAAGATGGATCGTTTATTATTTTGATCACACCAAGAAACAGAAGTGTTTTGATTACACCAGTTTGAATATTTCCCAGGTCAGGGAACAGGCTGTTTCCCAAGGTCTGCTATTACGGTCTTGGGAGGAGCTCAGTGGACTAGAAAGAAAGTTCGTGGGCTCTTAGGAACACAGGCTTGGCTTTGAATCTTACTTCTGTAAATGCCAGTTGTGTATTCCTGGGCAATCTTAGCTTCTAATACTCACATATAAAATTGGATAAAGATAACTCTTTACCTTGAGAGATTAATGAGAAAAGGTACACTAATGAGAATTAGGTGAAAGGCCTAATACAACATCTGACACATGGTAGGTATTTAACAAGTGCTCATTTTGTTCCTGTGATTCTCATCCTTTGATTGAAATTCTGGCCTTTGGGACTTTTTATAAGGAGCATGAATTTTGGGTTACTTGTATTGTAATGGTTTAAAAATGTTGACCCTTCAAGTAACCTGAAAATCTGACAGCCCAACATGTCAACATGGTCTAATTACCAGATTATCAAGGGAGTAAAAAGAGTGATCTTTATTCATGAGGTCTATAAGAAGACAACTATAGGAGGGAAAGGAAAGGTAAGTCCTGAAACTAACAGCTGCCTGGACTGAATTGCAGAACTTGGTGGCTTCTCCTCTGCAAATCACTAAGCACTAGATTACACTCAATAGCTTCTTAATGGTATTCCTGTCTTAAAGGACTTCTGTTTAACAATGAAGGTTTGTTATTATGACTATGGCTTGTGATGAAGTGAGTACACTCTTCCCTACTGTTGTGTAGTAGTTAAAAATGCAAGAGGAAGCCTATGTTGTTGTTTTCCAGGAAAACTTAGTCTCAAAGCTAGGGGTGGGGGAGAGTGCATGTGACAGAGCACAAAAAATGTCCCCTTTGCACCTTGAGATTCTGCACATTGGAAAAGTTTGTTATATTGCAGCAAAGGGAAAATTATAATTTGATGTGAACTTTAAGATCTTTACTACCATGATTTGTAATGAATTGATTTCCTCTGAAATGCAAGCTACACCTGTGGAACCATTTGGGTGACACTGATCCATCCAATCACCATTTCTAGTAAAGACTTTACCTGGAATGTTTCTCTTAGTGTCATCCCTTCCTTTTCCTTTGTCCTCCTTACTAGAAAGGTAGGTCTTAGTCACAGGATAAGAGAATCCCACAGACCACTCACTGCTTAAATTATCTTCCTCTGCAAAGGATGAGAGCAGTTAAGGTCAGTCAACTTCCTGAGTCCATACTCTATACCAAGAACTATACTGCACATAGAAGAATCAGTCTATTCCAGTACCATTCTATTCCTCCAACAGCTTACAATCAAATATTTAGAAGATAGTATCAGTACCTACACCTGACCTAATCACAGCCCTAAGCCTGAGACTTAACCTTTTAGGGGCTGATTTCAGATTCTTGGAAGTCAGACAAGGCTAGGACCTTGGGGACAGTGGTCACAGAATCATGATGATATGATATTGAGTAACTCTCTGCATAAAACAGATAGTCTATCTCTATTCCACCACAGAAGGATAATTTGCAATATATAGAAATGGTATTTTTTTATTTTAAAGAAAGGGCATAGTAACTGTGAAAGCCCTGGGTGGCAACTATGTAGTAAGGCCTGTGCTGTTTTCAGCATATATAAATAACCAGTGCCAGTGGACCAGAAGTCATTCATTTAATTTGATGAAAAAAACTTGATTGGGAAGTAGGGTAAGCAGAAAGAAGGCATTGAATGGTTTATTCATTCTCTAAATATTTTCTTGAATCCTTAGTGTAGGTCTTGCATAGTTTTGGATGCACACAAGTGATGGAGGAGGTTGAAAATGAGAAGACTATGTACTAGGGAGCTGAGTGGTGGATTCCTGTAAACGGCTAAGTCTGGGGGTAGGGGTGGACAAAAACAGCTGTGGGGCTAGACAGTAGCCTGTAAATCACGCCTTGAATGGTGTTTGAAACACGCCTGTGAAACCCAATTGCACATTTTAATAGGGAGAAGCTGTGGGGCTATTGGCTCTCAGTTAAGGTTTCCCACACTGCAGATGCCAGGACACTGTGAACACAAGAACCAAAAATGTGTTGCAGGCCTGGGGGGAGTAGAGATCCATAAAACCAGGGAAATCACCAGTGTGTCCTTGGCTTTCTGATTCCCCAGTGAGGGATGTGAATAAAATGAGTTGACATGCTCACTGCTATTTGCAGTTGTCAAATGCTTGCAGTCTTGAGAGCAAGCCAGCCAGTCTTCTTTGGCAGAAGGAAACAGCCTTGAGAAAGAAGGTCCTCTCAAAGCTGCTCTCCCTCCCAACCCAGAGGGAAGCCTGCAAGGGCGGGAAGCTGAGAAGGGCTGAGAAGGTGGAGGGGAGGTTTCGCCCCAGCTGCCTGGCCCCACACCTGTTCTGTCCATAAACAGAGTTCTTGGGCTCTGGGCTGTCAGCCTTGACAGGTTTCACCAGCACGTGAATCTTCTATGTATTCTTCCTGATCGGTTGTTGGAAAGAAAAGCCACGGCTGTGTGGTACTGGTTCTGTGCATAGGATAATGGGAAATGACACATAATGCATTGCTATTCTAAACAATGCATTAAGGGGAAATCATAAGGTTGTCAGCAAAAGGAAGTGCTCTGCTCTGTTTGTGTTTACTGGGTTCCTTCTCCTGCCATATAAAATACAGGACTGGGTTTTATCAGGCTTTTCCCACATCTCTGCTGTCAGTACAGAAAAATGCACATACACACACATCTATAAAATAACAAAGAAAACTGGAACAGTGTAGTTTACTTACGAGATTTGTTTAGGTCTGAGAAACTATACAATGCATGGGCAGTGGATAAATAATTTAATACTCAGCTATATCATTTATAAGAAGTCAGGCCGGTGGTGACATTCCATCTTTTTACTCCCTCGAATTTCCCCCCAAAGAATAGATTATTTTATTTCTTTTACCCAGTTCTACTGTATGGAATTGTCTGCTTTAGGAAATAGCTACTGTGATGTGTTTAAAACAAAAATGAGACACTAAGACCAGCTGCAAAACAAATAAGGTGAAGGAGGGCAACGTAGTTATTTCATTCATGCCTTGGTTAGCAACCCAGGGAGAACACACGAACTCATGGTTGTAATGTTCTCCCCTTTGTAGTATTGGTCTCACTATATTGTCCACCCATTGAAGTCACTGCTCTTTGGAATTAATAGGAAAATGTTGTGAGGAGCTTTGTGGTGTGTGTGTGTGTGTGTGTGTGTGTGTGTGTGTGTGTGTGTGTGTGTGAGAGAGAGAGAGAGAGAGAGAGAGAAAGATTTTCTATTATTACTTCTTAGTTGGCTTTTCTGTTCTAAACTCTAGCATATTTGCCACAAACACTATTTTTATCAAGACACCTCTCATCAAAGACCCACAGACACTTCTTATCATCATATCAAAGTCAAAGTCCTCTTTGTTGCATTTAAAGTTGACCATTTAGTCACATTTCCCCCATTCCAGAGTGTCCTCGCTAATAAAAACTGATGTTTGCAGCCATCTCTGTACTTGATACCGTTAGCCGCAACTTCATTTCTGCCCCTGTGCCTTTGAAAGAGCTCGGCCAGGAGTGTGGAAGAATTTCCTCCCTGTCTGCTTCTCTCTACCTGTCACTGACTTTAACTTTCTCTGAAGAACAGCTTTTATAGCCCATTCTGATTACTTTTTTTTTTTAATCAGGATCTTGGCGCGCTCTCTTTGTATTTGTGGCTATGCTATTGTATCTGTCCCCTGATTTTTGAATGGGGACAGTTAGGTAGGTACTTATTAAATACTGACTTCTTTTCACCTATCAATGATTTCTTGGAGATGTCACAATTTCTAATGTAATTAATTGTAGTGAGCCTCCTGACATTTCTAAATCCACAGAACCAAATTGCACAAGAGTATGTTTATTTCATTTCCATTTAATAGGCAAGTTCAAAGATAACCAATCCAGAGATGAAACCTTAGGGACTGTTCTAATAGAAATTTTCTGACACATTATTCTGCCAAGAGGAAAAAATCTTTCTTGACAAAGAACATTTGAGACAGTGTCATCATTCCCTGCGCAATGAGGCCTTCTGTGGACACGGGAACCTGACGGTTGAGATGGAGTGTGAGTCTTTCCAACTCTCAGAGGGAGACAGAGGATGCAGTGGGGCTGCGCAGCTGGCATTACTCGTGCGGTCACCTGCCGACAGGGCCCCTTGTGGGAGTAAACGCACAGTCATTGACTGTGGAGGGGGCTCTCTTGTTCTCTGTCTTTGTCAGAAAAACCTTGGG